ATTCTTTTTCCAACATCACTTCAACTATTCAATTGTCAACCTGATTCGCAACAAAATATGTTGAAAAACAACGAAAATGAACGAAAGATTTTGGATTTACCGTTCAATATGTTTACAACAAGTACATTAACAAGTCATGGTGTGTTTCATAATGCAAAACGTGATGGAATACACGTTAATGAACTATTAGCAAATCTTGAATCGAAAAAAATGATAAAATCCGGATATTATTTAAAATCAAAAGGTCGAAATATTGAAGGTTTCTTAAGAAGCCTTCCGGATGTTACCAATGAAACACAATTCCTTGAATTTTCAACTACGTTAGTACAAGATTATGGGTATACGTTGGAAAAATATCTACGCACGTATGAAAGTAATAAAAAACATCCAGAAAATTTAAAATCAACATTAACTGATACAGCTGTCACTGAACTTTTGAAACAAGAAACGTTTATACCCTTGATAAAAGAAGAAATAAGAAGAATTAAAGAAGCTCGGGCACAGATAAGTACGTTTACCGTTCGGTTGGCAAAGAAATCCGTTATCTATAGTCTAGAGGGTTTTCTTCATGGAAATTACCTGTAGTTGGTAAGCGATACTTGGAAGCATCTTAAATAGGTCGACAGCAACTGCAACGATTAGTGTAAAAGCCTAGTTTTTACCTCAAAATTTTTAGTGGTCCTGTTATCACTAAAAAGTTAAATTGAAGAATGCCTTTACATTTTTCTGATTTACAACGGTTCGTAAAAAAGATTTTACACGCTTTACTCAATCCCTTTCTCTTTCTTACAGCTGTCAGATAGACATACAATATTGACAGACAAATTGCTAAGACATTTGTTTTGTCTCTTTTCTTCTAGCTGTTACTGTGTCAGGAGAAGTTCATACAACAATCGATGCTGTATTACAAAGTGGAATAGTTGTATTAAATAGTGGTGTAAATGATCAAAGATTAATGGACAATAATAATACTGATGTTCTCGAAGAACAACATGACTCATGTGATTATGCAACACAAGAAGCGTTGAAATTGTTAAAGACTGCAAGTGCTACGGTTGAAGAAATTGTTAGGATGGAAATTGACAATAATACCGATTTGTCAATAAATGATCAAGAAGACGATATGTTCAACGATAGGGGTCACAGAAGTAAGTTGAACACAATTACCCAGATAAAAATGTCTATAGGATTTATATAATTCTTTCTTTTTCCAGAAAGTATTACAGATCTTCTGGATATATGGAATAACGACTTAGCATTAAATTTTGAACAAAAAGGTATGGGGTGCTAAACACAAGTACATCGTACAGCTATCTTTTGTAAAATATTTGCTTTTCTTATCTTTGCAGTTGACATGCCACTGTTACAGATTGATCTTGAAAATATCAGTGAGACGCTTAATGAT